AAATTTATATCTTGTTATGAGTAAAAACGAGCTTGCCGCTCAATATGATTGTTAAGATAATCAGATAAACTCATATTGGATTATATTGTTGTTGTTGCTATTATTGGTTATAGTTGTTATTGTTGGGCTGTTGATGAACCTTAGTGGTCTTTGGGATGTATTAGAAAATAGGGGAAGTTGCTTCCCGATTTTCCTTAAGTCATACGACTAGCCAAATACGATGGTACGATATTATATGTTAATGGCATTATCATTTCACTTGTTGTAGAAGTTGTGTTGAGCTTGGTTGAGTAATAAGAAAGATATCATACAGGCATGTTAAAGCTAATCCTTCCTTTTTTGGCATGATTCAAGTAATGATACGTAAACGTAATGCTATTCCATAAGTGGTTCTACTCTTAGTAGTTTATAATATAGTGATACATGCATCTTCATGCATTTACCATTGTGTTACGGCCGATTGGGCAATCATGCATACTAATTTACCACCGTGTTGCGGCCGGTTGGGCAATCATGCATCTTCATTTACCACCTTGCTACGACCGGTTGGGCAGACATGCATCTTCATTTACCACCTTGCTACGACCGGTTGGGCAGACATGCATCTTCATTTACCACCGAGCTACGGCGGGTCGGAAAGTTACCACTTATCAGTTGGGCAATCATGCATCGATATGGATAATGATTTCAAAGAGGTTATATATATATATACATGTACATATAAATATAATAAGTATACATATACGGTAGCACCTCAGAGGTTCAGGTGATTCTTATATCTCTTCCATTAATGTTGACTTATTATTATGTTTCAGTTCTTCCTTACATACTCGGTACATTATTCGTACTGATGTCCTTTTTGTTATGGACGCCGCATTCATGCCTGCAGGTATAGGTAATCAGTTTGGCGAGCCCTCATAGTACACGAAGTTAGCATCCAGTGAAGGATCGGTAAGACTCCACTTCATTCAGAGTGCAACTGAGTCTATAAGTCATCGTGTCAAAGTTTTTCTACAGACTTATTGTTAGGCAGGGGCCCTGTCCTATTTGATGTCGAATAGTCTTAGAGGCTTTATAGATAAAGGTTCATTTTACAGTATGTCAGAGGTCTTGATGGCCCATATGTATTCATGTTTTAAGTCCAATGGTTTGCTAATACAGTGTTTCCCCACTTACAGTTGTACATTACAAGATAAGGCCATGTTGGCCCATGATAGTTACAAAAAAAGAGTTATAGAGTGGTTCGCCCGAGCCAACACGTCGTTGGGTGCCAGCCACGCCTCCCTAGGTTTGGGGCGTGACACCTCGGAAATCTGAAGCCTCGCCATATCCTGCCTGATCACCTCTCCCCAGTACTTCTTAGGCCGCCCTCTACCTCTTCTCGTGCCCTCCACAGCCAGCCACTCATACCTCCTTATTGGAGCATCTGGGCTTCTCCTCTGTACATGCCCGAACCATCTGAGCCTCACTTTCCGCATCTTGTCATCAATGGGGCCACGCGCACCTTCTTCCGAATATCATCATTCCTAATCTTGTCCATCCTAGTGTGCCTGCACATCCACCTCAACATCTTCATTTCTACTACTTTCATCTTCTGGATATGTGAGTTCTTAACAGGCCAACACTCAATCCCGTACATCATTTCCGGTCTAACCACCGCTTTATAGACCTTGCCTTTGAGTATCAGTGGCACTCTCTTGTCACACAGGACTCCAGATGCTAATCTCCACTTCATCCATCCTACCCCAATACGGTGTATGACATCCTTGTCGATCTCCCATCCTTCTTGGATAACCGACCAAAGGTACTTGAAGCTGCCTCTACTTGGGATGACCTGTGAGTCAAGCCTCATATCTATGCCAACTTCCCCCGGCTCAGCGCTGAACTTACACTCCAAATATTCCGTCTTCGTCCTGCTCAACTTGAAACCCTTAGACTCAAGAGCCTGTCTCCGAACTTCCAGCCTCTCGTTAACACTGGTTCGCGACTTATCAATCAGAACTATGTCCTTGGCGAATAGCATGCACCATGGCACCTCCCATTGAATATAGTGTGTTAGCGCGTCCATCACCAGGGCGAACAAGAACAAACTGAGCGTAGAACCTTGGTGTAACCCTATAACAACTGGAAAATGTTCAGAGTCGCCTCCTACTGTCCTTACCGAGTCTTAACCCCATCATACATGTCCTTAATCGCCATATGTAGGAAACCGACACACTTTTTGCTTCCAAGCATCTCCAGAGAACTTCTCTAGTAACCTTGTCATATGATTTATCTAGGTTAATAAACACCATATGCAGGTCCTTCTTCCTATCTCTGTACTTTCACCAACCCCCTAACAAGGTGTATAGCTTCTGTAGTAGAACGACCCGGCATGAACCCGAACTGGTTGTCGGATACAGACACCGACATCCTCACCCTCGCTTCAACCACCCTCTCCCACACTTTCATGGTGTGACTCAGTAATTTGATACCCCTATAATTGTTATAACTCTTGATATCACCTTTGTTCTTATACAATGGAACCATCATACTCCACCTTCACTCATCCGACATCCTCTTTGCCTTAAAAATAACATTGAACAACCTAGTCAACCACTCCAAACCTGCTCTCCCTACACACTTCTAAAATTCCACTGGAATCTCGTCAGGCCCGGTCGCTTTGCCCCTACTCATCTTACTCATAGCTCCCACGACCTCCTTAACCTTGATGAGCATGCAGTACCCAAAGTCACGGTGACTCTCGGAATGCTTCAATTCACCTAACACAATATCCCGATCCCCTTCTTCATTCAGAAGTTTATGAAAGTAAGTCTGTCATCTCCTCTTAGTCTGGGAATTTTCCATCAATACTCTACCATCGTCGTCCTTGATGCATCTCACTTGGTCCAAATCCCGAGCCTTCTTCTCTCTCAACTTGGCCAGCCGAAATAACTTCTTCTTCCTGCCTTTTTTCCCTAGTTCCTTGTACATACGACCATAAGCTGCAATCTTAGCCTCCGTGACCGCCAGCTTAGCTTCTTTTCTAGCTATCTTATACCTCTCTATGCACACTCGCATCTCCTTCTCACTTTTGCTCCTCACTAACTTCAGGTACGCCGCCTTCTTCGCTTCTACCTTACCTTGGACCATTTCATTCCACCACCAGTTTCCTTTGTGTCCGCCAGAGATGCCAGTCGAGACCCCTTACACCTCTCTCACAGCCTCCCTTATGCAGTTTGCTGTCATAGACCATATAGTGCTCGCTTCACCATAGCTCCTCCAAGCTCTCACAGCCGACAACTGCCCCTCTAACTCTTGGGCTTTATCCTTAGTTAAGGCTCTCCACCTGATTCTCGGTCTTCATCGAGCATACCTTTTCCTCCTCTTTAACATAATACCAATGTCCATCACCAAGAGTCTATGCTGCTTCGCGAGTATCTCACCTGGAATCACCTTGCAATCCTTGCATAACCCTCTATCACACCTCCTGAGGAGGAGATAGTCAATCTGAATCTTCGCCACCGCATTTTGAAAAGTGACCAAATGCTCCTCCCTCTTCGAAAAGGTAGAGTTCGCAATCACCAACCCAAAAGCCTTAGCGAAGTCCAACAATGAGGTACTTCCTCCGTTCCTCTCCCCAAAACCGAAGCCTCCATGCACCTCGCCATAACCACCTATGGTCGACCCAATATGACCACTGAAATCCCCTCCTATGAATAGCTTCTCAGTAGGCGGAACCTGGCGCACAATCTCATCTAACCCCTCCTAGAAACATCGTTTAACCTCTTCATCTAGGCCCGCATGTGGCGCATAGGCGCTAACAACGTTTAAAGTGTACTCTCCAACCACCAACTTAATAATCATCAATCTATCATTCACTTGTCTAACCTCAACCACAAACTCTCTAAGTTCCCTATCCACCAAGATACCCACTCTATTCTTACCTTTCTCGACTCCTGAGTACCAAAGTTTATACCCGTCCGCGTTCCTCGCCATCGACCCTATCCATCTTATCTCTTGAACATACGCTATATTGACCCTCCTCTTCTGGAGGATCTTCGCCAACTCTATAGACTTTCCCGTCAATGTGCGTACGTTCCATGACCCAATTCTCAACCAATGGACTCACTTGTTCCCTTTATATATATATATATATATTTCATTATTCATTTAAGAGAATAGCTTTATTAATACTGTGATGATCAATATAAAAATTAATTCTCATATTTATAAAAAATCAATAAATACAAGATACATATATTTTATACAACTTTTGTAATCATCAAACATTACTGTGTCTGTAACTTACTAGAGGCTCGGAAAACAAAAGGAATATGTGTACGAACGAGATATCCAGCAAACAAAAGGATTCTTTTCATAACTCCAAATGTTCCATACTAACGTATTCGAGTCCATAACCATGTGTTTTAATGCACGAGATCTTGTAGCACTTACCAATGAGGTCCCATCGATTAATATTACACAAAAGAAATTAATTATAGACACTAATATAATTAAAATCCATTCTTCATAGACAAACTTGAGATTCGTGATCCGGATAAGATCGGTTCACGATCATGGTTCCTTTCCTATCAGATAGGAAGGGTTATAGCACAAAATGTACTTCTAAGTAATTATCCCCATAGATCATATATCTATCTATATACTAAAATAGGCATATACTAAATTACATGATAAATTCAACGATTATGTTCAATTTGACGATGTGGTAGAATGAAGGTGTTCTTGGCCCGACATATTGGTTTTGTTATCAAATAATCATGATTTAGTGATTTGCTTTAATTTTAACTATTAAAGTAAATTATTTAATTTATAAGTGGTTACCCAAAGTTTGCAAATCTCCCGATACAACAACTCAGCATGAAGTTGACGTAACACAAATCCACAGCGCCGTGCCGCCGTCACTACCAGTCCTGGGAATGCAATAGTGCTCTCCAATTTGTTTCTTCTCTAACAAATACTACTATACTGAAAATGAAACATTTTACTGTTATCTTTGAAAGGTCATGGATCATCACAAGAAATGAGTGACGTTTCAATGTTATCTTCTATGCCATATTTTTCTAGCTTATTTAATTTAATGGGCGACAATTTTTCTTTGCTCAAGTTGGCCTTTTTTATTTTTATTGGTTTATTTATATCACCGTAATGCATTATGCATCCAACACAAAACATCATTGGACCCAAAATATAATCTTATTTTATACTCCGATTTTCGTGCTTGTTCTTCATTACAAAAGAAAAAGGTGAAACATAGCCAGGTTCTTTGACTTCCCCCAAGAGAAATTCTAGAGATAATCTGAAAGACTCTTAAATGTTTCAAATGGTTCGTTTGAAAGAGAAACTCTGTTTATTCTTCAACAATAGATGGCTCGTATTCGTTGCAGCAATGTGGATTCAGAGTTTTGCTGGTATTGGATATTTATTCGGCAGCATTTCTCCGATCATTAAAAGCTCTCTTAATTATAATCAAAGGCAACTTTCACGTTTGGGTGTGGCTAAGGATTTGGGAGATAGTGTTGGATTTTTGGCTGGAACTTTATCTGAAATCTTGCCGTTATGGGCAACTCTTCTTGTGGGTGCTATTCAGAATTTTATTGGGTATGGCTGGGTTTGGCTCATCGTCACCGGTCGATCTCCTATTCTTCCCTTATGGGTTGTGAGTACCTATCTCTTCTCATCATCTCTTTAGCCAATTTGTTTAGTGCTGAATTTCAAAACTTTCAATAGTTTATTTCTTTATACTTTATCCCTTTGATATTATAAAACCCTCTGATGTGATACTGGATCACCTTAAAAAAAGGTGAGTCCAGTGCACTAAGCTCCCGCTATGTGCGGGTTCTGGGGCCGGACCACAAGAGCCTATGAGACCTTGCATTTCTGCAAGAGGCTATATCCACGCGCTCGAACCCGTGACTTCCTGGTCACATGGCAGCAACTTTACCAGTTACGCTAAGTCTCCCCTTCAAATACTGGATCACCTTGTAGTAGTCAATTATCACCTAATTAGCAGGGGCAGAGCTAGTAAGGGAGAAAGGGGTTTAATCGAATTCCCTTCATCTAAAGGTTATAGTGTGCAGATAGGATAAAAATGTAATGTTTTGGTTATATTTAAACCATTGAATCCACTTTAACATAGGAGAAAATTCTAATGTTGTGGTAAAGGGGGTCCAAAAGTTGCTTTGAGTCATAAGTTCAAGTCTCAACTATGACATTCTAATACATTTTGAATCTCCTTATATAAATTCATGGCTCTACCACTGCTATTTAGGATGCGATGCTCTAATCGAGTTATGAGGTTACTATTGGTAGTATCAGGGGTTTATAAGTCTATTGATGTCTCATTTCTGTCTTCTGAATTGCAATTTTGCTTCTAGAGTATCACACTTTCAGTTCAAATTTGGTCTTGGTGCTCCTGAATTATGCAATTTGATCAATGCACTAGTTGCAGTCATCAACTTACTATTAGGGTATTTGATTTGCTTTTTCTGAAATTTAAGGCCTTGAACTCAGGTAGGCAAGAAGAACCTGCTACTCTATCTACCTGAGTTTCATCAATCTGATATTGTTCTTGTCTGACATTTCTATTTCTGAAGAACTTCAAATATAACTAAAGTTACAAGTCTGGATTAAGGCTGAAGTGCAATGGGTTTTACTTGTGAACCAAATAATTATCAGCTTGCCTTCTCTTCACGATTTTATCAGCATGAAACTCCATCATCTATCATTTCCTCTCGGAGTGTAATTAGTGAAGACGAAGATTGCATGTCTTTGAATGAATGAAGGAGAACAAAACTGAACCGAAGTCTACCATTTTCCTAGTATGCATGGGCAAGAACTGCTTGTTTTCTCCTTATCCAACAAAAAAAAAGTGCTTGTTTTCTGTTGTGTAGCTGAATGCCTTTCTCGAAATATGTCTGGTCACTCACCCGAAGATGTTATTCACTACTATTTTGTTTGATGGATCAAATCGTTTATTTACTGACTGCTATAAACAATTTGGGCCATATCCATGGGATATTTGCATAACTTGTATGTGTTTCTTTTAGATCACTACCTTGGCATGTACTTCTAGTTTTGTCTGATAATTGACTTATTTCAGCTATTTCTCTGCAGATGTGCATTCTTATATTTATAGGTACAAATGGCGAAACCTACTTTAATACAGCCGCACTTGTCTCATGTGTGCAAAATTTCCCTAAAAGTCGCGGTCCTGTTGTGGGAATACTTAAGGGGTTCGCTGGCTTGGGTGGTGCAATTATGACTCAGATATATGCGCTAATCCATTCCCCAGATCATGCTTCCCTTATATTTATGGTTGCCGTTGGACCTGCAATGGTGGTTATTGCTCTCATGTTTTTAATCAGGCCTGTTGGTGGCCACAGACAAGTCAGACCTTCTGATGGATTCAGCTTTTCATTAATTTACAGCATTTGCATTATTTTGGCTTCTTACCTGATGGGTGTCATGCTTGTTCAAGACCTTGTTGACGTGAGTCACACCATCACTACAATCTTCACAGCTATTTTATTCGTTCTATTGGTAATCCCGGTGGTGATTCCCATCTCCTTGAGCTTCTCTCAAACAACAAGAGGACCATCAGAAGAGGCTCTTCTATCCGAGTCACAAAAACAAGATCCTGGTGTATCTAAACATAATGATGATCAGGAAATTATATTTAGT